TATCAGGCTTTCTTTTTTTCTTTTATTTTTTTTTATCTTTATCTTTTATATTTAGGTTTTTTGTTTAGATTATATGAGTTTTTTTTCTTTTTATATTTTTCTTTTTATCTTTGTTTATTTTCTTTCTTCTTTTTTTATGTTTGTTTTTAGTTTTTTTTTATATAGTAGAAATAAATTAAAATTAGCCTTTTTATCAAGGTTCAGATAAAAAAAATTTAAAAAAAAAGAGGTAGTTATAACAGGCTATAAAAACTATCTAATGAAATACTTGTTATTTTAAGTAAAAGAAACAAGCTAAAAATAGATATTACTATAGCAAATTATATATAAATATTTATTGAAATAATTAGATAAACAGTATTTGTAATACTAAAGTTTAAAAAGGTATCTTCTTATTAGATATATAATTTAGTTTAATTATACATAGTATAGTAATATAAATATTTTTACTAAATTTAATAAAATACTAGTATAATTACTAAAAAAAAAATAAAAAAAATTAAACTTAAAGTTTTATATTCAAAGCTTTTATTTTTATATATTTGTAGTAATAAAAAGAATAATTAAAGTGTTTAAAATAAAGTTAAATTTTGAAAATAGATTCTTATAAGCTATTAGTTTATTATATTTAAGTTTAAATTATTTTTTTTATTTAAAATATTTATTTTACTTTATTTTTATATAAAACTTGTTACTTATATAGGGGAACATTAAAGCCAGGTTCGTTTAGGGTTAGTTTTTTGATGCAGTTAAGGTTGATTGCTTTATAAGAAATCAAGAATGCAATTTATGCAATTTGTAGATCATTATGTAAATGAACCTGGCTTTAACGGACCCCCTTATATATCTTCTGTATTATACCTACTACTTTAACTTGCGATTTTACATATTATGAGTTAGAGTAGTAGTTTTTGTGCTCATGCTACAGTATGCAACAAAAATGTATGACAAGAAGATTGATTCGTTGGAATACAACATATAACAATGTATCTATCAATGGCAGTTAGCTGCTATAGTAATGGAAATCAACAATTTTTATTAAAATAAATAGCAATGCAATAGCTAAGCTTGATGAAGCTATTAATCATATTAAATCAATAGCAATTGGCAAGCCATATTCAAATTAGAAAATATACTAATCTCAGATAAAGGTGCCAGAATTTTGTATTAGGATTTTATAGAATATATACAAATCATCAAAAATTGAAAAATTTATGAAAAAGACAAGCAAATTTTTTATTATATAATATATTTTAATAGTAGATCAATTTTTCTTTATTAAGTAAAAATTTAAATGAAACAGAAAAGGCATAATTTTTGCTTGTTGATAAAAGCCAAAATATTGTATGAAATTTTAATTAGTAGCCAGAATTTTGTATTAGGATTTTTCAAAATATTTTGCCAATTGTACAAAATCATTAAAAATCAAAAAATTTATAAAAAAGACATGCAAATTTTTTATTATATGATATATTTTAATAGTAGATCAATTATTCTTTATTAAGTAAAAATTTAAACAAACCAGAAAATGCATAATTTTTGCTTGTTAATCAAAAGCCAGAATTTTGCAACCTGGCAAAAAATCTGACCAGATTTTGATATTTGTCTTTTTTTTTTTTTTTTTAATGTAATAATAGGTATTTTAAACTTATTTGGCACATGTTTTTAGATTCTGAAATTATATTAAAGAATCTTTAAAAAAAGAAAATTTATATTTAATTTAATTTATTTATTAAAATTTGATATAAATGTTTATGTATTTAATTTTATTTAAAATAATAAATTACAAAAATTATTAAATATTTTTTTTAATAATAAAAAATTTAATTATATGTATAAAAAGCTATATTCAATATATTTTAAAAATAGACTTAATAGTCCAGATACAATATGTAGTACTATATAAATTTTTTTTATAAGCACAAAAAAAAATATATATAATAATAAAAAAGAAAAAAACATTTATTAAAATTTTTATTATAAAATTTCATTCTTCTCATCTTTCTTTTCTTTTTTTTTATTTTTTCTTTCTTGTTTTTTTCTTTCTTTTTGTTTTTCTTCTTTTTAATAAAAGAGTATAAGTAGATTTTGTTAGAGTTGTAAGAGCTTATATTTTTAAATTAAGGATCTATATTTTATGATAATCTGATTTTACTATAATTTGCAATATTTAATAATACTAATTAAATTTATAGACTAAAATATACTTATCTATAAATAAAAAATATATTAAAATAAAAATACTGAAGAATTTATTTTATATATAATTTTTAATACAGTCAGACTCTACTAAATACACCTTTTCTAATTGAGTACTCCTCTAAATACATGATATAAGCTTGGGCTCATGGTAGAACTTATAGATAAATGCACGTTCTTTATTCTGTAAGTGTATACTAACCATCTGGCCTACTTATAAAAACTTCTTCTATAAATATATTTACGTAATTACTAGCCAATCAAATTTATTATTTCAAGGCTACTAAAGCTATATTATTACATGCTAATAGTAATATTATGATTTTATTAATGTTCTCTAATTGCATCCCTCTCTAAATACACTCTCTAAAGGTGGTTTTGACAATATGCATTTAGGAAAATCTGACTGTATTTATATTAATAATTTATATTATTTATAATTTTATTTATATTATATTAAATGAATTAAATATATATTAGTAATAATAATATCCTGATCCATTGGGTATTAGTGGGGCTAAAAGTCCTTCTAATTTACATACAGTCAGGGTATTATTAATTAATACTTCCATGATCTTGAATAGTGATCGGGGTATTAATTAGGTAATTTATTATGTAATTAAGAATATTCTTATGTGATAATTGAAATTATAATTATATAATATTATCAAATAACTGTCTTAATTAGATGCATCATTCATTTAATATTTAAAAATATAAAAAGATTATGGTTTCACTAAATTTAATCATCATTTTTAAATTAAACTAAAAATAGATAAAGGGTTTTATTTTCAATATAGAATAATAATGATTTACTATTGTATTCCATGTATAACTAAATTTGTTTGTAAAAGAAAGAATTCTATTGAGAAGCACAAAAAACTTTATCAGCAAACTGGGAAAATTCTGCAATACAAATTATATAATCAAGAGCATTGGCGATGTAAAATGAAAATGTGTTATAATTATTATAAATTACACAAATGCAATAATATTATTTGTTCATATTGTAAGACAAATAATCTTAGAAGCAAATGTGTTTTACCAAAAACTCAACAAGAATTTGAAATCTTAAAGGAAAAGAGTATTATTTATTCTAGTGGTCAATATGAAGCAACTTCAAATAGTCAGCTATACGAACAGGCTTATTTTCAATTTAGTCTACATCAAATCATTAAATTGGCCAAAGATATGTTAGATTATCGATTAATCAACTTTTCAAAGTATTTAAATAGAGATTTACAGCAAAATCAGAATTACTTAATCAAGATATGGAATCATTGCAAGGAGAAAAAACACAAATCAAAATGTTGTTGTGATTATTTTAAACATGAGAAAATTTGTAAAATTTGTAATCAATCATATATTGAGAAGTATACAATAGTGTGTTAGACAGATCAAGACAGAAATACCTTATCATGAAATATAGTTGGTTCATTCATTTTTGGTGAATATCATAGTTTAGCTACATATAGAGATGATATAGAGGAATTAGTGAATAATACGATGATCTTAAAAAAAAACAAAAAATTCATATTAAACAGATATCATATAAACAAGTTATTCAAAATCTAAAATTACAACTTATAAAATAGTACAATTTACTATTTAATTTAGAAAAAATTGCTAAAGATTTAGAAAGATTAAAAAATTAAAAGAAAATTATTCTTGATAAAAGATTTTATTTAAAAAATTTTTTATTTTTCAAAAATTTGAGAAGCAGAAAAACTACAATTGTACAATGATTAGCTTAATAGTTGGCAAAAAGAAAAGAAATTTGCAAAAAACTTCAGATTCAAAATATTTTGATGAGTATAACAATTACAAAGTTATCATAAAACAAAAATTAACTTATTATATATTTAAATTTGAAGATTTATTATCATTATATAAAAAAAATAAATATATTATTAAGCAATATAACAAAAAACCAATTGAAGTAGTATTAAAATATAATATCTTTACTGCACAAAACCAATTTGATAATACATTTACTTTTTGCAAAAAAGCATTTGATAACAAGAGTAAGATGAGTAATGAGAGAAGGTTTGTATTATATAGACAATTTTCAAAATCGGCTGTATATACTTATAGTTATATAATCCAAGTTGTAAATCATTATAAATCTAGAAAGATTGATTATTACTTTATTTGAATTAAATCTGATGAGCCAGGTAATATAAATGAATTTATAAATGGTTGATTTGATATCAAATTTAGATTTAGAATCAGCTAAAAAATATGTATATGATAAGGATTTTAAAAATCTCTATGAATCAAATAGAGATATTTACTTAAAACAAGAAGTTGATATGAATTTTATTTTGGGCATAGTAATAGCCAATCTTGATCTTGAGTATAAAAAATTTAGTGTTTATAACAAATACTAGAATAAAGATTTATCTAAATCAACAATAATTCTGAAAAACCTTGATAAGGTTGATCAAGTATTGCATAAGAAATTAGTTCAACAATTCAATTTACTAGATGCTTCTAAAAGAATTTTAGAAATTAAAAACAACAATCTGCAAATAAGATTATCAAAAAGGATTTGAATGATTAATTTTATATTTTATTTTTATTTTTATTTACTTTATTTATATATTTAATTTTTTTTAAATAACATTGAAATTTAATAAAGTATATTCAATTTTATCAAATAAACAATTTATTTCTAAACATACCTAAACATTTTATCAAAATTGAATTTTATAACCATGAAATCAAAAAACAAAATTCGATTATGATGAGAAAATTCAAGAGATAAAAACAGAATATAAAGAAAAAATACAAGATATCAAAAAAATATCTTCTAAATCTCTTAATAAAATAGAAAAATTAATTCAAGATAAAGATAAAATAATTATAGAATTATGTAATTGAATTTTATTTTATCAACTATATTTTGGAAAATCATTTGATCTTGTTCACAATTTATATAAGCAACAGCAGCAAATAGTAGATTAAATATATGAAATTGTGAATGATTTCACTAATAAAACATATGTATAAGGGGGTGACAAAAATATTTCCACACCTAAGGACTTGGCTTATAACTCAAAAACTTGCTAATTAACTTATATCCTTGATTTGACTATAGTAATTCTTACTCCTTGAGAATTATTTCATATCATTTTTAGATTACATGCTTGTATAATTAACAAGTTATTTAACTTTACTTTTAGGGTTTTGATAAATTCTGTAAGTGTCTGTGTTTCTGTGTAAATATTTCAATAACTATTAGTCTAATCTTAATAAAATTTTACCAGCTTATAGAGGAACTTTTTCTCTATCCACTATAAAAATTTGATCAAATTTAATCAATAATCAGACAAGTAATTAATAAAAACAAAAATTTTATAGATCAAACTTCTAAGCTAATTTTCTCAATGATTATTAGTCTAAAGTTAATAATTTTTATTTTATCTAATATATATGCACTTTCTCTACAAAATAAAAAAAATTTGGCTAAATCTAATTACTAGTTGTAGAGATAAGTCAAATAATCTATTATAATATGTCAAATTTTAGTCATCATCATATATCTCGATTATCTCGGCAACTAGTTACAGACTTGCTAATATTTTTTTTTTATTCTGTATAAGAGACATAATACTTTAAAATAAAAAAAAATTTGCTCGATTCTAATCACTGGAAGTCGAGATAATTGAGGTTAAAGTTCGCTATTAAATTGGTAATATTATGCCATAATTTTTGTTAGCGATTGTCACGATTATCACGTAACACAATTTTTAAGGCATACTCGATTCACTTACACATACTTTCTAATCCCATAGTCTTTTATTAAATACCTTTTTTATTTTTTTTTTTCTTCGTATCCGGCTAGACTAAAGAAAATATGGATTCCAGTTAATTTTAATGCCATGTTAGTGTTCTGGCCTGGGTAGTTAACCCATAGTAGGTTAACTACATCAATATCATGTATTTATTCTCAATAAAGATATTATTAACTTGATTCTGATCTATATATTCAACTTGTAAAAACTAATTAATAATAGAATCGAATAAGTTAGTATTTAATATATTAAAGTAGAATAGAAATAATTTAATTTTATAATAAATAATTAATAGTAAGTGCGAAATAACTTAGATAGTAGTATATATTTTAAATTATAGATAAATTAAACAAACTTTTTAGTAGTATGTATGTTAAAGTGCAATAAATAGTACACATATATTAAATATAAAAATATAAAATAAATAAAGCTGAAATTTTAGTTCCTACTTGGCTATTTTCTCATATATGCTTATTTCAGTTTGTGATGAAATGATTCAAGAAAATTTACTGAAAAAAGAGCTTCTAAAGTATTTTTTATTCAACTAGAGAACTAGTATTAATAAGTAAGAATAAATATTTAAATAACCTTTTAACTTAAAAGAATAAATATTTAAATAAACTTTTAACTTGAAAGAATAAATATTTAAATAAACTTTTAACTTTTATGGAAATAACAATTACAAACTAATTATTTGAATCGATCCTTTTTTACATTAATTTTCAAGCCATCCGATTAGTGATTTATTTCATTCAATAAACAAAGTTTGTATTTAACCAGGAACTTGGGAAATTAGTAAACCCAAAATTCTCATTGCAACATAAATTAAAAATGATGCAGATCCGATCACTAGATTACAAGAGTTTTGATTGTAAAAATTGTATATGCGAAGTTCTTTTTCTTAGATGAATGCATTATATAATTAATTATTTATTTTTTTCTCCTCTCTTTTATAATAGGAATGGAACGTTAACTACTAAATTGAATTTATTTAACCAAATTAGCAACACAACTAGAATCTCTAGACTAAATTTAACTTGAATTAATTCATTATAATATAGTTACCACATTAAAAATAGTTTGTCATTTTATATATTCGTTTCATTTGTCCCATCCTCCCTCTTCTAAGAGTTGTGAGAAGTGATATTAGCCAAAAAATTACCTTCAAACGGCCTAAATCAAATATTAATCAGGGTTGCTGATGAAAATCTGAATTTACTGCAGATAATATCAACTTTCAGTATGCTTTTCTCTTGAACTAGTATAATAATTAATGCCTAATTTTTTTAAGCAAATTGTATACATTAATATTTTTTTAAAAAAATTAGGCATTAATTATTATACTAGTTCAAGAGAAAAGCGTACTGAAAGTTGATATTATCTGCAGTAAATTCAAATTTTCATTATTTGATTTAGTATTTCGAACACCTTAATACCATAAGCATTATGCAAATTTTTATTGCATGTTTATGCTGTAATTATTTGGTAAGTTTTTTTTTTTTGATAATTGTTATATAGTTAGAAATTTGAAATTTTGTTAAAGCACTTATATCTTTAAATCATAACACTTTCAGAAAAGAAACGTGGAGAAATTATATCTGCGCGAATGTTAGGCAAGTCATATAGACAAATTGCCAAACTTGTTGGTTGTGACCCCAAGACTGTTGGAAATGTGCTTAACCAACTTGAAACCCCATCTCAAGTATTACCAGATCATTGAGGAAGACCACCAATCTTAGACGAATCGGCACAAGATCGTCTAATGCAGCTTGTTTTAAGCGATCGGTGTATGACTAAAAGACAAATTCAAGCTGCATTGAAATAGCAAGAAGGCAAAGTAATAATATTTTTAATTTGATCTTTTTTTTAATTTATTTTTTTATTTTTATTTTTTTTTATTTGGTTCGATTTTTTTAAAAATTTTATATTTTAGTTAATTTCTCAAAGAACTATTAGCTGTAATCTTTGCAAAGCTAACCTGGTCTCATGTGTTGCTCACGTAAAGCCTTTTATTAGTAATAAGACTAAAAAAGAGCATAAAGATTGGGCAGAAAAGCATCTTAATTGGACGACCAAAGACTGAAAAAATGTTCTCTAGTCAGATGAAAAGTATTTTACTTTAGTCCATTCTAATCCATATCAGCATGTATGAAGAAGGCCAGGTAAAGAATTTAATGACGATTGCCTTGTTCCAGCAATCAAGTCTAAAGGAATTATGATGTAGTGATGTTTTTCTTGGTGGAGTCTTGGCCCTTTTATCCATCTCCATGGCAGTATCACAAGTGCATCCTATTATAGGACACTTATTTGTTATACCATCTCTAAGCTTCAGGACCAATATTCCAACAATAATGAGATATTTCAACATGATGATGCCTCAGTCCACAGAGGCAAGCCTGTTAAAAATTATCTAGCCAATAAATTTATTAAAACATTTAAATAGCCTCCGTATAGCCCGGACCTTAATCCTATTGAGAACCTTTAGTCCGAGGTTGAAAATAAGCTTCGAAAATGTTGCCCAAGACCTGGCAACCTTAATGAGCTTGAGAGGATGATTAAGAAAGAATGAGAAGCATTATCACAGAGTTATTATAGGCATCTTGTTGAAAGTAAGATAGACCGTGTTAAAGCAGTATATGATAATGATGGTGGTCATTCACATTATTAATTTCTATGTATAAGGATTATTTGTTTGCAAGAGTTAAATAAATAATAAATAAAAAGTAAAAAAAAATAAATAAATAAAAAGTGAAAAATAAAAAATAATAAAAAGTAAAAAAAAATAAATAAATAAAAAGTAAAAAAATAAAATAAAATAATTAGTAAAAAAATAAAATAAAAATAAATAATAAAGGTCAGTAGTCTTGTGCTTATATGAATATAATCATTAATAGATTCATAGTTAATTATCCAAGATTCTATGAATGGGTTGGTTATTGGCTTTATACTTTTAGAGCTTTTATATGATGCAACTATTTTATTACTTTTGGGTGAAGGTGAATTAGTGATAGCAAAAAAGATTCTCGGTCCCATGATTTCCGGGCAAAATATATCAAATAAAAACAAAATATTACACTTAAGATTAAAAAATTGCTCAGAAGTTATAAAACTAAGGATCATTTTTTGCCAATATGTTACTTTTAACTATGATTCGAAAATTACCTACCAATCCTTTTTATTAACTTGTTTCAATTTTACTTGTTTTAAAGTACGATTATGTATCCATTGAATAATTAATGCTATTAATCGAAAAAAACTTAAGATTGTATGATGAATAATCCTTATTTTATTTATTACACTATGTATCAATTTTTAAATCAGGTGTTTTATTAAAATTTTTGTTTATTCTAATGCTAAAAACTGAATAAATTATATTAGTTAAATGAATGAAATAAATCACTGATTGGATAGCTTGAAAATTAATGTAAAAAAGGATCGATTCAAATAATTAGTTTGTAATTGTTATTTCCATAAAAGTTAAAAGTTTATTTAAATATTTATTCTTTCAAGTTAAAAGTTTATTTAAATATTTATTCTTTTAAGTTAAAAGGTTATTTAAATATTTATTCTTACTTATTAATACTAGTTCTCTAGTTGAATAAAAAATACTTTAGAAGCTCTTTTTTCAGTAAATTTTCTTGAATCATTTCATCACAAACTGAAATAAGCATATATGAGAAAATAGCCAAGTAGGAACTAAAATTTCAGCTTTATTTATTTTATATTTCTATATTTAATATATGTGTACTATTTATTGCACTTTAACATATGTACTACTAAAAAGTTTGTTTAATTTATCTATAATTTAAAATATATACTACTATCTAAGTTATTTCGCACTTATTATTAATTATTTATTATAAAATTAAATTATTTCTATTCTACTTTAATATATTAAATACTAACTTATTCGATTCCATTATTTATTAGTTTTTACAAGTTAAATATATAGGCCAGAATCAAGTTAATAATATCTTTATTGAGAATAAATACATGACATTGATGTAGTTAACCTACTACGGGTTAACTACCTGGGCCAGAACACTAATATAATATTAAAATTAACTGGAATTCATATTTTCTTTAGTCTAGCTGGATACGAAGAAAAAAAAAAATAAAAAAGGTATTTAATAAAAGACTATGGGGTTAGAAAATACATGTAAGTGAATCGAGTATGCCTTAATGATTGTGTCACGTGATAATCGTGACAATCGCTGACAAAAATCGTAGCATAATATTACCAATTTAATAGCAAACTTTAACCTCAATTATCTCAACTTTCAGTAATTAGAATTGAGCAAATTTTTTTTTATTTTAAAGTATTACGTCTCTTCTACAGAATAAAAAAAAAACATTAGCAAGTCCGTAACTGGTTGCCGAGATAATCGAGATATATGATTGATGACTAAAATTTAACATATTATAATAGATTATTTGACTTATCTCTACAACTAGTAATTAGATTTAGCCAAATTTTTTTTATGTTGTAGAGGAAGTGCATATATATTAGATAAAATAAAAATTATTAACTTTAGACTAATAATCATTGAGAAAATTAGCTTAGAAGTTTGACCTATAAAATTTTTGTTTTTATTAATTACTTGCCTGATTATTGATTAAAATTTGATCAAATTTTTACAGTGGGTGGAGAAAAGGTTCCTCTATAAGCTGGTAAAATTTCATTAAGATTAGACTATTAGTTATTGAAATATTTATACAGAAATACAGACACTTACAGAATTTATCAAAACCCTAAAAATAAAGTTAAATAACTTGTTAATTATACAAGCATGTGATTTAAAAATGATATGAAATAATCCTCAAGGAGTAAAGATTACTATAGTCAAATCAAGGACATAAGTTAATTAGTAAGTTTTTGAGTTATAAGCCAAGTCCTTAGGTGTAAAAATATTTTTGTTACTCTCTTGTACAGTATTTAATGTTTATATCTAATTAAATTAATTAAAAATAAAATAATTAGACTGGCTTGCTGATTTTTCTAAAAGAAAGTCTGCAAATTATCTATTCTCATTTTTATTCATAATAGATTCATTGACGATGACTTTTTCATCAACATTCTCTGTTCTGTTGATTAGCAGATTGATAACAGGATTTGGTATTGGCATTGGAAATATGATTGCTTCATTATATATTTGTGAAATTTCACTGAAATTTCATCGTGAAGAATTAGCTAGCTATAATATATTACTAGATAATATTACAGTATTTTTCCATTTTGGCAGGACTTATATTTGAATCAAATGGTAGAGGTTGGAGATGGATGGCTGCTGTTGCTTCTGTCCCTCCACTATTACAACTTTTTGGTATACTGTATTGAATATAAAAATTCTTTTGTTAATTATATTTGATAATTGATTTGTATAGTGTAACAAAATTAATCCTTTTAGGTTTATTATTTGTTTCTGAAACTTCAAGATTTTTGGTGAAACAAGGTGACTTTGAGAATGCCAAGAAAGTTTTGAGCAAAATTTATCCCAATTCACCTTATGAATTTTTGAATAAAGGTAAATCTTTTATCTGTTACAGTGTAAGATAAAAACTTATAATATAAATTATTCATTTTTTTATTATTTAGAAATTGAGGTTATTCATGCAGCAATTGCTTAAGATGCTAAGGGTTTTTATATAAAATTGATATGTTACCCTAATTTAAAGCCATTCTTAATTGTAACTGGGATAATTACTTTACAAGAATTTTGTGATTTTGATACTTTTACGTATTATAAAATAAATTGATATGTGAGAATTATAATATATATATGTGTATAGCATAAAAATAATTATTTATTAATACTTATTTCAGACTGTCATCTTAAGTATGACCAGTTAAAATAATGTGAATAACGTTTTAAAACTTTCCCTTGTTGTATATACAGGATATTCCCTTATAACAGGTATGGTACAAATAATATATTTTTATTTATATACTCATTTGCTTGGAACTTATTTAAATATTACTTTCATTTAAGCATTGAGCTTATATCTAATTGATAGAGTTGGTCATCGTAAATTGCTTTTATTCACTTTAATTGCAACAATCCTTGGTTTATTCCTTCTTGAAATTGTATTTATTTTTATTACAGGATTTTCTATCAAATTAGATACATGTTCAGATTATAGAAATAATTGTAATGCGTGTTTATCTGATAGATGATGTATATTTAGTAACAGAATGGTGGAACTTGTATTGTAAAGGATAATTATAATCGATCAAATGCTTATGATTCTTGCCCTAATAATCATTGTCGCTATTTCGTGCTTGCTTCTTTAATATTTGATGGATATGTATTATTATATTAAGAATTTATATTAGAGTTGCTATTAAATTTTGATTAATTGACCTAGTGTATGTATTGGTTTTGGAAATATTCTATGGTTGTTACAAAGCGAGTTACTTCCATTGAGCATATGTAGTAGGAGTTTCATCTGGTAAACATTTTAAAGTATATAAACAATGAATAAATAATCATTTTTTATTAACTTATTTATAATTTATAGCTGCTAATTGGGCAGCTACCTTTTTAGTCAGGATATTATTTCTGCTACTAGCAGGAATCATAATAATTCCTGGTATTTTCTTGAAAAATATTTTTATAATGTTAATTTCACTTAATATCATAATATATTACTAATGAATTTTATTTAATTTAAAAGGAGTATTTTAGATGTTTGCAATGTTTAAATATTAACATGGTGGTTCGTATATCTTTTTATACCTGAAACTGCTGGTAGATCACTTGAAGAAATTCAAAAATTGCTTACTACATAACAAATCAGATGATAATAAATTTTTTTTTTTTTTTGTTATATGAAAAATAATCATAAATGAGCTTATTTATTTAAACCATCTAAACCATCTTTTTAATTTTATATATTTTGTATTTTTTTTAATACATATAAAAAATATGAGTTTGGGTTAAAATCCTGACAAACAAAATCCCGACAGGTCATAATCCCAACAAAAAAATCCTGACAAACAAAATCCTGACAAATCCTAATAATCAAAAAAAGTGTTCATTTGAGCAGTCTTACTATATAATCGCCTAAACCCTAACCCTAACCTGAGTACACACTCCAACTTAATCTATTCAAACGGCACCTACTAAAACACATCTCCCTCGTCTGCAAATGCTACAATACGGATACAGAAGATAATGCTCACTGGCTCACATGTGTAACCAACCCCACTACAATTACTAACCTTCTCCAAGATACTACTAATCAATTTCTCCACAAACATAGTCTTCTACCATCAGATATTAACAACTTCATTCAAGCATTCACTCGAATCCATATAACAAACCAAACATCTCTTGGTATCATTACAATAGAAACCCTAACACTGACAAGGATTCGCAGCAAAGCTATCCACTCGTCACTGGAACTACACCACACTATCATAACCAAAATACATAAAATGATCTGGACTCCAAGCAAAATAATGGTGAAGAATAATAACAACAATAATCACAATCACTCAAACAGTACTACCTACCTTAGCTCAAATACAACGATACCAGAATCAAACCCCAACCCAACACTACATAGTAAACTCTCATCGTGGCAATATTCATACATTAGTTATAATACTCTCCCTAACAATATTCTCGACACATAGTCTAGAGATCTTTGACCTGCCTAGCTAAGGTTAAGGTCTAGAGTAAAGTAGCTCCATCCCCACTTCTCCTAAAAAATTATGTAAACTTACCTTGTAAAATCTGCATAACAAATAATAAAAGAACTGAGGAAAAGACCTCACTTAAAAAAAAAAAAATAAAAAAAAATAAATTAATTCATTATCTATAAATAACCTGTTAGGCTAATTTAAATAAACTAATAAATATTTTTAGCTAATTGCTAATGTTTGTTTATATTAAATAAAATAGAATATAACAATTCTATTTTATTTGATATAAACAAATATCAGTAATTAGCTAGAAATATCTGTTAGTCTACTCAGATCAACCCAACAGATGATCTATAGATGATGGGTTAATTTACTAAATTAGTTCTAATTTCTATAACTAGAAAAATATATAGCATTATATATTTGGAGTATGATCATCTTATTACACAAATGTGTAAATATGCATATTTTGTTATACTAAATTAACAAATTTGAATATATATATAAATAGAAAAAAATTTTCAAATTACATTTTTAATATAATCTTTATAATATTTATACAAACTTAGCTAAATACAAGAAAGTTCAAAAAATTTAGGAAAAGATGCATCAAAAAAGGCATTATTTTTGGTTAAAATGTATCAAAAATGTAATTTTTGTATCACTTGCTAAATAACTAAGGGTCTCTTTACTATCCTCCAAGCAACAATAATAACAATATATTATATTTATTATCTCTTAAACTGTTTAGCAGGCAAATTTACTTGCTAAAATAATTTTTAAAAGTTTTTTGCAATTTTTTTAAGCCTTATCTCTCTATAGAGTTAATATCTCTATTCAGATTTATATATCTGGATATATACTATATCATGTAATATAACATAATATAATGTATTTAAATTTGGATAAATAAATCCAGATATAAATTTAAATCTGGATTTATACTATAATAAAACCAGACTAATCTGAATATAAAAAATATATCTAGATTAAGATTTTAACTTTATCTCTCTATTTATTAATCTTTTAATTTTACTATAAAATTTTAAAAAGTTTCTTTAAATTTTATATATTTTAAAAAAACAATTTTTAATTACTACTAAGTAAAGTTTAAAATTTGTTTAATAATTTATAAAAAATATAATAATAAAAGTTATTTGATTTTAAATTCTCCACAACTTTTTATTAAGATTGTAGAGGTTAAATTTTAAATTTTTATTAAATAAAATACAGAAAAAATTTTTAAAATTAAAATTTTTTTAAAAAATTATAAAGTTTTTAGAATTATTATAAAACGCACCTATGGTGTTTTAGCACCTATGTATAATTTCTTTTAATAAAATTTAGGGTTAGGGTTAGAAAATTAAGAATTATTTTTTTTTTTATATAATATATTATAGAGCTAATATAAGGTCCCAATCTCAGTTTTTGTGAGGTTTTTGGGGGTCCTGAACATTTTTACTTAGAGAACCCGATCCCGTTTACTTAGTACGTTTTTGAGAAACGAGACCTATGGTGTAAAAACACCATAGGTGCGTTTTAGTAAAATCCTTTAATTTATTGCAATGATTACTAAACGTTAAAATGATAATCATAGTGATTAAAAAAAAGGCTACTGTTCAGTTACTTTTCACCAACCCGGTATAACTTGTAAAGTACCCTGGGTATTTAGTCCACGTTATACAGTAGATAGTTTTACCTGAAATATTGACAATTGTATGCATAATTCTAAATTTAGAACCTTTTGCTTTCCTATACGAGAGAAATTGTTCATTATTTCCGCCCTCTTACAGGATACCACGATGATTATATCTCAGATAGAGAGGTTTCCGCTATTAATGAATATAACTGATATTTGATATTTTTCTAAATCCATGTAATTATTGCCATTGTTATACCGTGAAAAAAGAAAAATGCAATCTCATTTTTTTTTAATATTCTCCATAAATTCTGAAATTCTGTGCTCGTTATCTTTGTTCTATAACCAATAAATCAAAATTCTATTCACAGTAATTCAATATTTTTGCATTGATGCATAAATCTATTCACGCTAAAATATTTTCGCATTGTATTTGATTTAAAAGTGATCTAAATGAAGTTTTATTCTGAGAACAATATACACTGCAGAGTTCAAACCACAAATTTCTACATTAGAATCTGTAGCTTTTAAGTGAAGACGCAAAAGTATTATCTAGAGTTACTCTTAAACTAAATCTCAAACATAGGGTTGTTAAAACTTACCTGACAACTTCACTTACATTAATTTAACAACCCTACTCAAACAGTAACGACAATTATCATATAAAATATCCATTTGTATTATATTAAAATGTGCATATCTTATTTTTGGCTCGATTTGTACAAAGTTTGTATTTCGGCACAAAAACGTGTTCAAAAAATAAATTTCTTAACGTTAATGATTCAAATATTCAAAGTTCTAACTTTAAACGCGCACTTTATTTTACCATAAAATCTCGAATAACTTAGGCAATATATAAGCGTATTCAAAGTTTTTTTCAAGCTAACTAAGCCAATAAATTTTTATTATTTATTAATAATAATAACTGTTAAATATTATTAAAATAGTATTATTACCCGTATTTCACGGGCTAAGCCACCCTCCCCTGTAAAATATTTACCAGCTTTTATCTACATATTTTTAATATTAATAGTCATTTATTGTTATCAATATGGTATTAGCATAAGTAGTATATACTATGACATAAGTACAAAATATGCACAAATATAATATTCAAACGCTGATGTATAAAGCTGTAAAATTGCACAGAGGAGGGTGGTTTAGCCCGCGAAATACGGTAAAACTAAATTTTAATTTTATTTAGCAAAATTTTAAGTTCTCTGTAAAGGAGATAGATAATACTATTACAAGGGCGACAAAGTGAAAAATAGACAATTTAACAATATCGAAACATTAGTGTAAATAGTGTCAAAAATATAATAATTATTTTCTTCATTAATTTATAAATTTTTTTAGTCCAATTCACATCTGACAACCCCTTCAGCAAAGGGAGATCCAAAAAACATCACTTTCCTACTACTATCACCAGCCGCCACAGAAATTGCGTGAAATAAAGTACCATCATCCTCAAATATTTTTTCTTTTGCATATTTGATCCCATAAAATTTATCTTCTTTAGTATTGTTGCTAATTTTAATTACACCGAATGAAGGTTTTTTAGATTCGTTTGTTACACCATTTGCGAGCAAGATCATTTCTAAGATATTATGCGCCACTATTTTGATATGTTTTATGTAATGAAATTCATATATTTCAAAAAAAAAAGATTTTATATCAATCTAAGGCAATCAACTTTCACATCCACATACCTGCAAGATAAATTTCTCCTGTAACAGGATCCACATTAACGTTATCAATTAAATGTTCAACTTTAATGGTATCTAACAGCTTCAATTTATTATCAGATTTTCTTTCATATATTAAAAGTTCCCCTGTACCGCTAGTTCCAACAAAGACACGTGAATAGTCCCAATTTACATTAATCCCATTTGCAAAAATTAATCCATCAACAACTATTTCTGTTGTATTGGTTTTTGAAGAGTGAAAGACAACATTACTCCACCTACGAAATGTCAAAGCTATTTAAATTTACATGAATTATTAGTATAATTTTTCATTAATTCTTTTATAATAATTGAGTATGATAAATACTTTCAAATTGTATTTTCCAATATGATTGAGTGTAAAGATCATTTGTTACATAAAACTCATCTTTTGACACTGGAACAACGTTATTAGGATTATAAATTAAATTATGTTTAAATGTTTTTAAATAATTTAATTCAAATGTATCTATTTTGTGCTTGAATAACTCAACCACACTTCCGGTGCGTTTGTGATTTATAATAAAGAAATAAAGATTATTAGGTTCTGTAGGACTTTCATAAATTCCAAAACCATGAAGCGAAAAGTCTTCTTCATCAGCAAAATTTTTGAGAATAAGAGGTGTTAATTTATCTGTCTAATAACGCGAATTATATTTCATGATTGATTAATTAGAAATTGTAAAAAAAAAACACTCAAATATAACTCATAAAGTAAGTACCTTGATGTTGTAAACGTAAAAAGCTCCCCTTAAAGGAATATTTTTATCAATTGGTGGTGGCCACGATATAGCTTTGCGACTCTGTTCGTCTCCACATGCAAGGTAAGCAAGTCCAGACGCATGATGTATTTTAATATCCTCACATAACTTTACCTTTAAACCTAGAATTGTTCAGGCAATGAGAATATATAGGCAATAAGTTAAAAAAAATTATATAACATAGCCATACCTTCAAGGTACCGACATTTCCCTCCATTATATTTTTGAGCTGGTCCACGGTAATATCCACTTAATACTAACAAATCTTTATATAAAGTATATACAATCGCTAGAAACGCAATCAAAATTGTTAAAATAATCCTATTTAAATTATTCATCATTGAACTGCAGAAAAAAAAGTTACTACGTAGATTTATTAATGCGGCAGAACTAACTCTAACAATTTTTATACTATTGCCATGTATTACATTTCAATCCATTACAGCATTAAGCATTTATCCGGATAACTGTTGATATTCGGATAATTATCCAAATACATTATCTGGAGAATTAGGATTGGAACTCTACATTTCACGAACGCATGTTTTGTTACACTAGAGTGCATACTATAGTCATGCATTTGACGATTATATATTTTCACAATTGAGTCTACGCATAATGTTGAGCATATAGTTTATTTTTGTTAATGATGCGCAGTTTATAGTACGTTGTCATGTCGTTTATTGATTCTCATCAATTCGGAATCGACGTAAGAATCCACCGATCAATAAATGATATAATTATGTTCATAATAATAAATAAACCGGTTTCAATTCAGAATTTTTTTCCTTATTTAATAATCATGATATATAAGTCTTTACTTCTTTGGCTTGTTGAATCCCTTGAACAAAATATCAGAGATATATATTAGGTCAAAAGAAAAAATATATGTATGAGAAAATTTGACAAGTCGACCACTATCTTAAAGTCAAAAATCAATAATTTATCTGAAGAATTATAGAAACAAAGCGTCGAATTGAAACGGATAAATACTGTAATAGCAAGTTTTTTTCAAAAAAAACTGTCATATACTCAGCTCAATCTTAAACCAAAATTTCAAGTCAAATAGCGATGGAATAGACTTTATTTGTGTTTTACCAGTTTAATATTATCAACGATTTAACATTTAAACGAATTATCCAACACTTAAAAAAACAGATATTGCACAATTGCAGTATTATATCGTGCTCACTTAGAAGTAATTTATTATTTTCAAGACGGCGTGAATTAATTGGGTTGTTTCAAGAACAGTGAACCCAGTGATATCTTCGCGGTTATCACATAACATAATTAAACACTCAGCTAGTGATTGGACCCGTCCAAAAAATCATGACCCGGGTGACCCGTCGGGTGGACCCGCGGGTCACCCGGGTTGATCAATGGGGCCACCCGGGTCACGGGTCATAGTCAGACATTCGTCTGATTGGCTGACGTAAATCAATGGCCCGGGTAACTTATTTATACACTTTAAAGTACTTTTTAAGAACTTGATGTTTCACTAAGTAAAAATCACTGCAAAAGCCATTTTTCGCTTCGGCAGA